TCCTCTCAACACTCCTGCACTCCAGTTCTGTACGCATAAATAAATCTTTAAAATAAATAAATAAATGGGAAATATTAACTGGAAAAATGCTAATTGTATTCAATTACCAACAATACGCCAAAAACTACAGTTCTGTAGTTAGAGAATGTAACAGATGCAGAGTTAACTATACAACTGATTGCTACCCTGGTTGATACTGTAACTACAACCCCTAAACCAGAACCACTGAGATAAATTGCACCTAAATATCTGATCCTAAGAGATGGTGTGAGATAATAAATGTTTTGTATTTTAAGCTGCTAAATTTGGATAGTTTATCACACAGAAATAGATACATATATTTAAATCCCCAGATTTAGCTCCCAGATTCATTTGTTATCATCATTGGATCACTTAGTTATGTCCCAATTCAGCAACTTATTTTCTATGTAGAAGAAGCCTGCTTTAGATTTAGCAAAAATAAGATTCTATTACTCTCTTTGTATTTAAAAAAAAAAAAACTGGAAAAGTAACTTCACAACTCAAGGTTTTCATTATTACGTGTTGATCTGGCTAAAAGAGAGAGAGGCAGACAGACAGAGAACCCTTACATTTTTAATTAGAACAGTTGAAAAACACAAACACATATGCTTGTCTGGATAAAAATAATTATACTTGCTTCTTACTGAAGAAAAATATTCAGAATAAATAAACTTGCTTTGAATAGTTTTTATTCAATGATGAAACTGAATGTCTAGTTTCCTTACAGATAAATTTAAGATCCTCAAGTACAGGGTTCAGATTGCTTTGGTATCCAGCTTTCCACAGAATCAAATGACTAAGACTCAGCCTAATTCTTGCCCTGTTTTCCTTCGCTCACAGTTCAGTTGACATAGACCTTGGGCCTTTCCATTTTTTTTCCTTCCTTTTCCACTACTGCTTTTGAGACCAAAGTCTTATCCTTGGCCAGATAATCTCTGATGACAGACCTCCTTTCTTTTCTGCCTGAAGTCTCTTAACCTGTCAAATGTGACTCTTCCCAATCAGCCCACCCCACTCCTGCAACTAATTACTGGGTATGACCATTTTCAGATAAACACTCTAACTACATTAGAGGGTATTCAACCAAGTGGATCAGAATGATTAATTTCCAAACTATTTGAGTTAGAACCAGAATCATTCCCAGTACAGACAAAAAAAAAAAAAAAAAAAAAGGATGACAGCAAGAATGGGCTACATGGTTGATTAGAGCATCTCACTAAGCAAACTTTTGGAATATGTTTCAACACTTCACCTTGAGTTTATTCTGGTCACTATTCTAGCTTGTTCTGTGCTGTGTTCTACACTTGATCTCAGCCAAAAGGCAGAGAAGCGATGGTCTGTGTTCTAAAGAAGGCACACAAAACTAAGCCAAGCTTTGTAGATGAAAAGGGTATCACTCTCACAACTTCATTACCTTGCACATTCACTCAAAAATTATATTTTAATAGAGGTAGGACAATTCAATCATTTGTTGAGCCAGTCACATGTAGTATTACTTGTGGAACTTTCTTATCCCTAAAGTGATTACAAGACAACAGGAATGTAGCCATACTCTCCTTTCCTTCTAAATTAAAAAAAAAAAATCAAAGTAATAAGCAAATATGATTGAGTCAGTATGGTATGACCTTTGGCTTTTCTGAACTGTTCCCATCACAATCTAATACTGAAAAGTTCATTCATTGTTACAAAAATACCACATGGTCCCTTTCCTTTCTAAATTTGGCATTACTATATATGTTTATATATTTAAAGTATTTTTTACATACTTTATAATTATAGTATTTTGGTATCAAAAAAGTAACAGAAAACATGGAGGCTACTTTCTTCACCACTAAAAGAAATGCAAAATTCTATAAAAATAAGAGTACTCAAGAAAAGCTACAGGTTAAAGCATCTGCAAAGATACTTTACATCACCAGTAAGTAAACAAATACAAATCAAAACCTAAGGAGGCACTACTTTGCAGCCATTAGGACGGTTATTATCAAAAAAAATGTATTGGCAAAGAAGTATGGGTAAAGATGTGAAACTGGAATTTCTGTGTACTGCTGATAGGAATGAAAAGCCATGCTGCCAGTGTGGATAACCGTTGGTCCCTGAAAATAAACAGAGAATTACCATGATCTAGTAGTTTCATTTCTGGATATATACTCCAAAAAGTGAAAGCAGAGACTCAAGCAGGTATTTATACATCCATGCTCGTAGTCGCATTATTTATGAGAACCAAAAAGGCAGGAGCAACATCTGCATGGTAGACAAATTAATGAATACGCAAAATGTGGTGTGTGTATGTGGGCATAACGGAATACTGCTTGGTCTTAAAAAGAAAGGACATTCTTGGCCCTCCCTGGTGGCGCAGCGGGTTAAAGCACAGCACTGAAAATCTAAAGCCACTTCCGCATGAGTTCGATTCCCGCCTGCCCCGGAGGTG